ATTTAGCAATGTTTTGCGTTGTTTTGGGTCTAAAATTTTAAATACGCAAATGTGATAGCAGCACAAAATGAGAACCGAATGCAATTTGCAAGCCACAATTTTCCATCCTGCATGTTGGTTCTGAGCCAGAATAAAAACACATTTAACATTTTTGTTTTTCCAGTTTTAAGTTAAATTTGCTACTTTCATTTAGTTTTTTAGGTTTAGTTTTATTCACAGGATTTCTGTGAGTTTTCCACATTAGTTTAAGGTTGGTTTTAGTCAACAATAGCTGCATTTCCATTGGGGCTGTGCGATATGGACAAAAAAAAACCTATCGTGATTTCTTTGATCAATTTAGCTATTTTGATTTTAATCACGATTTTGACACACACAGATATGCTGGTCATAAATTAATGCATTCAGTGTGAATTTGAAACATATTTCCAAAAGAAAACCAATTAGAGCTTGTCTGTGCCAGCGTTAGGCAGAGGCAGTCACGCAATGGGATCAGCTTAAAACAGAAACATGTGTGGGCAAAGGGGCTTGAATTAATACCAAAGACCTTTCCTTTGCCTTTTTTTAAAATCTCGTTTACCCTTTTCCTCTGGAATAGCAACAACCAGCAAATTAGACTTTCCCTAGAATGAGCCTGGCAAATGGAAGGAAATAACATCATTGGGGGGGGGGACATTTTAAAAATGTCTGTGTTTTCACTAGTAGGTCTTGTCTATAGTCTGACTTGTTGTGTTTCACAGCTGCTCCCTTCAAATTAGACTGTGTAGTTCTACCATAAAAGTTGCAGGTACGTTAGGGCTGTGCGATATGGACAAAAAAAACCTATCGCGATTTCTTTGATCAATTTAGCTATTTTGATTTTAATCACGATTTTGACACACACAGATATGCTTTACGGTCATAAATGCATTCAGTGTGAATTTGAAACATATTTCCAAAAGAAAACCAATTAGAGCTTTATCAAAAAGCTGTAATAAGTCTCTAAAACAGACATAAGGCAACATAATCACTAAGTAAAGGTGTAACAAAATGTCTCTAGAATAGACATATGGCAGGAAAAAAAAAAATCTCGTGTCGAGGGATTTTTTTGCCATGCATTGGTCATAGAGCTCTTTGTGGCGTTGCCTCAGATGTTGAACTAGATTTGTTGCGCCAAGTTCACACGCACTCCGTCTGCAGTGCGTATACAGTATACAGAGAGAGAGAGTGTGTGTGTGTGAGAGTGAGAGTGCGTGTGTGTGTGTGTGTGAGTGTGAGTGAGCTGCATTCTGATTGGTTCGGATAGCATACTGCGGGAGGTCGGGGGCACGGAAAATCATGCTATAAAGCGATTTAGAAATCGCGCACGCTCAAATCGCGATTTTATGACGATTTCGATTAATCGCACAGCCCTAATTTCCATTACCTTTCAAATTGCGCAAATTGAAATTGCGAAATGAAAATACGTCCAAACGCGCAAAAACTCCCATATATCGCAAAAAAGTTTTTACGCTCGCATCAGGTGGTTTCTCAGGCATTTTGAAAAGGGAATATTTCGCAAAACTGCAATGGAAACAGTTTTTTTCATTTACAGCTCATTTGGCGTATGTAAAATTCACATGATCATTCTTTAATGTACTATAACAACCTCCAAGACAATTAAACACTCCTCTTACAAAGACTGATGAAAGTCGAGGTCAGAGGTCAAATGTTAGGGTCCAAGAGCATTAGCTCAGGGTCACACAAAGTATATCTCTGATGAATAAAATCCTGACAGGTTTAATCTCAGCTCTAGAGACTCTTCATGAGAAGGTCATTAGTTATCATTAGAAACCTGTTTATCTCAAATAATATTAATAATGTGATGACCTAACAAATAATGTGTAGCATTTGGACCATTCAGACACAATTTTTCATTAGATTTAACAAATCAATTATTCATTAGATTAACAAATAATCAC